TGCGGATGTGAAGTATTTTGGATGTGCTCCGATCCTATTGATGGGGATCTATGGAGGGTTGATGGCCCAGTGTCCATCGCGCTATGATGATTGGTACCACATGCATTGAGTTGTGTCGCATTGCATCTATGAGTCTTTTCGTATGAATTATGACGTTATGGCCTTTGAGGCATATTTGAAGGATATCAATGTGTTGAATATAATTATGAGTAATATGCCATTTATGCATTAATTGTTATAAATTGATTATTATGAATTGTTGTACTCACCCTGCATGTTTGAATGTTACCTCCACGTGGGTAACGTGCAAATGAGCAATTTTAGTCGTGGACGCCGTCGAGGAGTATTTTAAAGTTTTAGAGTCGTTAGCCTTTATGGTTAATTTAGAGGGTCTTGCTCTGATATGTAATTGGATTCTTTGAGTTGATTTTATATCATTGGGTTATTTTGCTGATGTTTCCTTTTGAGGAGAAACCTTTATTTATGCTTTGAGTTCCGCTGTTTTATGTATTTTGAGGAAAATCCGTCGTTACGGAGTATTGACCAATTTTGTTGACTTTGAGAAATGTACGCCCTTTGTGGCTTTTTATGAAAGTTAATATTTTACTCTAAAATCCGTGTTATTTTGCCGTAATATCTGTGGGGTAGAATAAGGGTGTTACTAGTCTCGCCTAAATAACTTAAATTTAAGTATCACACAAAAATAAATTATCTTATGCTTGGATTAAATCACTTTGTCCTTTTCCAAAGACCTTATGTTTAAGGGACTGTGTATTGGTATAATTTTATGGGGCCCCAAGAAGAAAGATCTATGATTGCATGATACAAACTATTTGCCTCATCATTGGGCGAGTGTCCAAAGAAAGGCTTTAGATAGTCCAAATAAGGGGTTGAGGTAGCCCAAATAAGGTCTACCTCGAGGTAGACCAAATAAGGGCTCAATCTAGCCTAAAGGAGGGCTCGAGGTAGTTAAAAGACGGGCTACCTCGAGCTGACCCAAAGAAGAGCTCGAGGTAGCTCAAAGAAGAGCTAATCCTTGGGCATATGCTAAAATACTCGATCCAATCCACATTTCTTAATTTAGTGGAAAAACATGTGTCACACATACTGGTCCAACAAGATGGTCAAAGTGAGGTGGCAAAACCGTCCTCTTTATTAGTGGAGAGGAAACTGCTCCCCACTAAGTAAATTAAAGGGAAATATCGAGGAAGTGAGCTTGCCTTCCTCACTTATCCATCACGGGAAAAATCTATAAATATCGCAACCTTAGAACATAGCAAATGATCCAATTCTCTCACAAAAACACACACATAAAGTTTCTCATCACTCCGCGTAATTAAATCTTACCATGACTTTTCACACCTTGCGCGAGCTTACTCTAACACCATAACAATCACAAAAACTTATAACATCACTTAATCACAATTGATTGTCACATAAAAGTATAACCAACATTAAACAAAATATATTATTAAAATAAAATTACAAAATATTATTTTGTAAGGATCAATAATATATACATATTCACTTAAAGTTTATTTTTCTTTTATTGACAATTATATTTTAATTCAGTTTTATTTTAAAATCTAAAATTATATATTTATTATTATTATACAATTTTTTTCTCCTCTTTATTATAACTTAAGTTTTATATATTTAAATTAATTCAATGTTCTATTAATAAAATATAATTAATTCAAAGATACACACACACAAATATATATATGTGTGTGTGTGTGTGCGCGCGTGTGCGTGTGCGTGTGTGTGTGCGTGCGTGCGTGCGTGCGTGCGTGCGTGCGTGTGTGTGTGTGTGTGTTTGTGTGTGTGTGTGTGTTTGTGTGTGTGTGTGAGATATAATGTATCATATGAAAATATCATTTTTATGTGAGAACACGAGAATAAATCCGAATAATTAGATTTTAAAATAAATAGTCGAGATTATTTGTGGTTTTTATTTTTCTCTCTCTTCCATTATTAAAATAAAGGCTTAATTAGTCTTGAAGTCCTTTAACTTAATTTCAGATTTCACTTTAGTCCCTTATTTAATAAACATTATATTTTAGTCCCTTAAAAACCATTGCGTTAGCCAAATTAATCATTTCTGTTAAATGTTGAGAGAAAACGTTAACTTGGGATGATGTGGCATGACAACATGACAAAAATTAAAATAATGAGTCAGCAATTTCATTAAGGGACTAAATTGAAACTTTATAATTAGTCAAGGAACCAGACTTGGACAATAACCAAATTGTGATTAAAGTGACCAAAATAAGTTTTCATAACATTTTATCAGACCATAATCTATTATTTACCACACTAGAATTTCATATCAATATAATCTTGAATTTAATGGCATTAAATTAGAATTTTGTTACATTTCTTGATTCAAACTAAAGTCATTAAACTAAAATGACATTAAACATGTTCTAAAATGACATAAGATATACATAGACATAACTGCAAAATGTGTATACAAGCACTATTACAAAAGATGTTCATAAAAGATAAACATGATTATCGTTGACACAAAACATATTTTGATCCTTTTTTTAGTCTTCTTTTCTTCTTTGACAAGGTTACTAAGCATTTCATTCATTGGACTCTTGATAAAGTTCTAGGCAAGAGCTGACTAGACACTCATTGCCTTTGGGCGACTCACATCATCATAGATGATTGATGGCTTGGCACAACGAGATCTATAGGATTGTACCCACTCATTGGCAGTAAATGCAAAGCCTAGCAATTGCTCACCAAAATACTCAACCATATACTTCCTCTGCAATAAAACGAAACCAACCATATAAGAAAATGTTTATGACACTTAAGTAAATAAAATCTATTTATGTAGATAACAAATGTACATTTTCAATATAAACTAAGAACTAAAAAGTTAACTAAAAAACTTGTTTATGTAGATAACAAATGTACATTTTCAAATAAATTAAGAACTAAAAATTTGTGGCAAATTAGAAACAAATTTTGTGTGAGGTGAATTTCCTCTAGTGTAGCCTTCTATTTTTTGGTCAAATTGAGGTCTCAAAATAACATCATTTTCTCTGATATTACAAGAAAAGTGGTAGTCAATTTCAATAATAAAATCAAATTTGAGTAAACTTTTAAAAATGAGTGTGAACGAAATCTAACATTCTTCTAAAATCAGTGATAAATTTGGAGTAACCACATGTTTTACAATCAATTTCAAATCTCTGACAGTTGCATTTGTTGCTTACCAATGCTTACCAATGTTGTAAAGTCTATAGAAGTTGTGTTTGACACATCCTTTAAGATTGTATGGTCTATTGCCAGATAACATATCAAGATTGTCGGTACGAGGCCAAACACATCCTTTAACTGCTTGAATTGGAATCTGTAAAGCAAGTCATAAGTAGTGCTAATATGATATATGAAAGTTGTTATTAAGATGTAATGTTATCTTTATTGCTGCTAAGATCAAACTTCAATAAATATTTAAGTTCTTTTTGATTTTCATGGTATATACGGTAACTTTAAATTGTATAGTATCTAACACACATTGTTATAGTATATAATTATACAGATGCATGAAAAATTAACAAAAAAATGTAGCAATGGCGTCACAAACATCAAAAAGAGAGTAAACAGAAGCAATACCTTGAGAAATCGCAGTATGAAGAGACATTAATGGTTCAATGCTTCCAAAGTCCTTTAAAACAAAACATATTAAGAAACACAAACACCTAAAGAAACACAAACACCTCAAGAAACACATGTGTGATTAAAGTACCTACCTTGTATTCATCACCAAATTCAATTTCAAAAGCATCACGAATAGCTTCAAGTGCTCAAGTTCTAAGGTTTCTTTTGAGAAGAAAGAGGGAAATAGAAAACCATCGAAGTGTAAATGAAATAATGAAATGTTTCAGCTTTCATTTTTTTTTTTTTAATTTTAAAAATTTAAATAAATATGTAATATAATAATTTCATGTCATCCAATAAATACCCAGCTGAAATGCCACGCATGCACAAACTAACGGAAGTTCACAAAATTTAACAGATAGGATCAAAGTGGCTAACGAAAGTACACTTAAAGGACTTAAAATGAACGTTTACTAAATAAGGGACTAAACTGAAACCTGAAATTAAGTTAAGAGACCAAATGATATATTAAGCTTAAAATAAATGATGGAGGAGAGAGAAAAAACTGACAGATAATCTCTACCATTTATTTTAACATCTAATGGTTTAGATTCATTCTCATGTTCTTACATAAAAATGACATTCTCGTATTTTATATATATATATATATATATATATATATATATATATATATATATATATATATATATATATATATATATATATATATATATATATATATATATATATATATATATATATATATATATATAATCAAAGACTTTAATACACCTTTTTAATTAAAAAATTTATTAATTTTTTTAAAAAAGTTGAGAATTCTACATATTTACTCTAAGGAAACCTATACAAATATTTTTTAGCCTTGAATCGAGAAACAACTTGGAGTCGACCGCACTGAACTCAACTCGCCGGAAAGCATAGCCGGAGTTCATCGTCGCCGGCCAGAAACAGCAAATCCAGGTTTCCTTCTTTCCCACCTTTCCTCCAGCGCGCATGGATGCAATTCCAGCGCGATTCGCGGCGCCTGCAAAAGGCAACGCACCCGTGATCGAATTGTATGCAGATCAAAGCTCAACTCTGCACCACAATTCCTCGATTGCGCGCTAAACCTCCGCAATTGACAACATAGATTGCATTATAGTGCCGTTAAATCTGTGTAGAAGTGGTTAACAACTAGAATTTTAGTTACTAAGATAATTGGAAAGAAAAAAAAATAGATTAAAAAATAGGGCTTTCAAGAGGAGAGAGAATCTTCAATGGTTTTAGTGTGTTTCATATAATTGCTAGTAGTTGATAACAATTTTTATTGAATGCAGAAGTTTGTGAAGCTCCAGTGATTGATTGCAGGTTTGGGGTATTCATAGATGGCAAAGGCAAGGGATAGGACTGAAGATTTCAAAGATGCTGTGCGTCAAAGTGCTCGGTCTTTGGGATATGATGAGGTATACACGATGCTTCGCTAACCTGGATTCAATTTCTTGCTACGTTCCCATTCACTATTATATATTCTTAATAGTTCATGTATTGTTCTTTTTCCTTTACAATAACAATATCCTGTATTTCTTTAGGTCAAAATTTATTTATGATTTGTATTTAAGTTACCCCATTACCATGAACCTTGAAATGGAACATTTGGAATTTGCTATTTGGTGTTGGATCAATGTTATTCTGGGTGGTTTGAACTTTGAATGATGTGTTGTCATTCCTTTGCAGGCTAAATTGGCATCCATTTTGGCATCTTTCATTATTCATAAACCTCCACAAAGGTCCCCATTCTCCAAAGCTGCATTTAAGACGGTAGGCTCAACATTGATATTTTAACTTATGAAATTATGTTACTTTCAGTGTTGTCAATCGCGGAAAATAGCGTTTTGTTCAAATTCCACTCCTGTACAATGCTACAGCGCATGGTTGTCAAGATCTCGATCTAAATCTTAAAATCTTACGATTTTGCAATTTCACTCACCCCCAACAATCTCGATCTTAAGTAGAATCGCGTGTTGTAGCCAAATTGTGAAAAAAATTGTAAAACTATTGATTTTGTGCGATCTTGGCCAGTTCCGGCCACGACCAGTCGTTTTCCGGCCATGTTCACCGTTTTTTGGCCACCTCCATTATAAGCTGAGAAGGTTAACAAGATGCCGAAGCGCAACAATTACGGTTCGACGGATGCTATTTTCCCACGAATCCACTTTCCACCAAAATATCATGGAAAAAACTTCAAATACATAGTATAATTTTTCGTTTTAGTAATATCTTACGATTTTTATTACAATCTTATGCTTTACAATCTTGTCACCCCCTCTCGATCTTACAAAAATAATTGTGTAGGATCTTTCGATCTTAGTTACAATTTTATGATTTACGATCTCACTGTCCCCTCCCAATCTTATGCAAGATCTCGATCTTGACAACCTTGCTACAGCGCGGCAGTATTCGCTATTTGACAACACTCTGTACTAAATAATGTATTGCGGAACAATTCATATGTGTCTCCATTATTTGACAACACTCTACTAAATAGTGTATTGCTGAACAATAGTGATATGTTCTAATTGCGCTATGCTATAGTGCTAATATTTGCCAACACTAGTTACTCTACGGGAAGATCAAATTAGTATATTTGTTTCATTAAGCAAAAGACACAACCCTGCTTTTAAATCATGTTTATTTGATACTGCTTCTACTTGTTTGTTGTTAGTAGCTCGAGAGTATTGGAGAATTGGATAATTTTTTGATAAAGCATAGAAAGGACTATACAGACCTGCACCGAACAACTGAACATGAGAGAGATAGCATTGAGCATGAAGTAAGCCACGTCTCTTCAGCTGATATGCTGGTTTTGAAAGTATTGTATCTTAATTAATAATTAGAAAAATGCCGATTGGTATTACATTTACTGTCTTAATCACTGTCATTTTTATATCAGATTGGTTCTTGGTAATAGTTTGGAATTTCACATATTACTTCATTGTATATTTGCCTCTAACATGGATAGTTTACAACTTTCTCACTATGATGTAGTACACTCAATTTAAATTTGTTTTCTTAGCCAGCCTAGCAATGTGGCTTGTGAATTATTATTTTATATTTATCTATAGATTTATAGATCTAACTAAATTCCATTTCTTACTCTGGTATTAAGTTATGACATGACTACTAGTGCTATCATTATCAGATCACATTGAATTCTCATTTTACTTCCATCCTAAGGGGTTCCATACAGTGTTACCAAATATCCGCCACGGCGGTGCTATTGCGGATATCCATGGCAGTTTTGGGGCTGGCCGCAATAGTAACTATTGGCCGACATTGTTGGTTTTTCCGCCATAATCCGCTATGACTGCGCCACTAAGCATAGCCAGTATGGCGGGATTTTGGATCTCTGCCATGTACCGCGATCTGCTATCAATAACATTGGTTACATATACCAATGAAAAGTTGAATTTTCACATACTTGGTTTCAGTGCTGTTGATATCCATGCTAGCTCACCACAATCTATAAATAGAACTTTATTTAAGCCTGTTAAAAAATTTGATTTGTGAAACCTTTTTCCTTTACATATGTAACTACTAAATAGACTGTCTGTCTTGCATCAATACAATTTTGTCATAGACTTATTTTCATCCTCACCTTTCTATATAGCTTTCCTTAGTTTTCTCTCTTTATGGTGCCAACAAGTTTGTAATTCCTTGTATATAAATTAGTTAAACATCTTAAAACGTTGAGCAGAGTTTTGCTTATGATTTACTATTATTTTGTTATTACTTTGGTGCAGGTTAGTGCTTTTATTAAAACCTGCCAACAACAAATTGATGTTCTTAAGAATAGTATAAACAACGAAGAGGAAAGCTCAAAAGGTTGGCTTGGCATTACAACTGCAAAGGCTAACGCCGACACCATTGCCCACAAACATGGAGTGGTATGGGCTTGTGCTTATTGGTTTTTTCAATCATTAACTTATTAGTTACTTATTTTCTGCATGGTGTTGCCAACTTACCCTACAACACAACTGAACCCCACTTAAACATTTCGGAACAGTCTAGATTGCTCATCCCCTTCCCTGGGGGAAAACACTAGCCACAATACTATTAAGATTCATGCACAGCAAGTACTTTTTAAAAGTTGTTTTTATTGAACTCTGTTTACTGAAACTTGAGTGAGTGAAGAGTATCTTGAGAGAGCACGATCTGAAAAAAAAGTGCACTCTGCTATGAGAATTTAGATCAAAATGATTCCGATACTCATACACCTCAGAATATACAGTGAGCTTTTATATAGACATGAAGCTTGAAGAGGCTTAACGTATGATAAAACCCATGAAGTCAAGGTAATGAAATTGTATTTCATTAATGGTAACTATGAGCTCAAAACCTCTACAATGGTATAAAATAGTGAATAAAGGATAAACCAGAGTTTCTAGAACTCCTAACCAGAGTTGAATGGTTCTACACCCTGAGAAAACATTCTCCTAACCTAACAAATTCTGAATGAGTCTCTTCACATTCACAACCCTCTCTCCCTCAAACAGTCGTAATCGCTGAAATCAAGGGACTCATACTAACTAACTTATATTCCCTTATAAGTATTGGGCTTCCAATGCTTTGAGCCCAATAGCTTATTTTATCTCTATCTTTTCTGTCCTATCAAGGTATCTTATCTGCTAGCTGACACTCAGCAGTTACAACAGCTAACCTCTGCTCTAACTACCTGATACCATAGCTAACTAACACTAAATATATGGCAACGCCGGAACTGTACAAGCACAACATTATCTTTCACAGAAACTCAAGGTGTATACCTCTTTACTAACGCCCCCCTTCAATCTCGGTGGAGGCTGCAATTCAAGGATGGTAAACACCCTGAGTATGGAGGAAGGATCACAAAATCTGGTAGTAGAGAGAAGTACAGTAAGAGAGTCAACCAATTGATTCTATGCTGGCGCATGAGAAATTATAGGATTTTCTTTATAAGTTTCTGACATGCAAAGACTGGATCTAACTCTTTATGCTTGGGCTGAACATGTAAAACTGGACTAAGAGACAATAGAGATTTCACTTGGTTTGTTGCAAAACAATATTAGAGTTGCTGTAGGAAACTGTAGTTTGGTTAAGAATTGAACCCGAAAATATCAGCAATAGTGCTTGTCTTTGCCTCAATACTTGGCTTTTGTACTGGAACAGACAACAAATAGCTGTCAAATACTTGTTTCATGTTAACTCGCTTATAAGTCATTTACTGTAAACTCATGTAGAGTAGACTTGCCTAATCTGATCCAGTCTGGTCATAGAAATGATGTAAGATGAAGATTTAGAAGAAGGAAACATAGAAGAAGTGTGAAATAGGATATGATATGGAAACCAATACTCATTAAACAAAACATCCTGAGATGCACATATGCGGCCATCCTTAGCAAGAAATTTGTATCCTTTGTGATTGTGTGGTAAACCCAGAAATACACTCCTTGGATCTGAAATCTATTTTATGCTGATTGTAAGGACTCAAAAATGAAAAGCAAGCGTATCCAATGTTCTTAGATCCTTGTTATCAGGTTGGAACTTGTAAAGCGTGTCATGAGGAACAAAATTAAGTTGCAGCTGAAGGGAGTCTTTTGATAGGGTATACTGCAACTCAATAACTGTGATCCTATAAGGAAAGCAGTATGGACGAGGAATTAGCAAGTAGAGTTAGACTCTTTGCTATTTTTCGGTTTATATTCAACCAAACCATTTTGGTTAGATGTGCAAGTACTAGTCAATCCATGGATGATGCCAAATTCATTGAGAAATTGTGCAAGGGTTCTAAGCTCAAAGCTTAGTGACAACATCAAGTTCTTGGTCTGTTTCAGATGTTTATTGTGCAGGAATCTGAGGATTTACAAAAAAAGGTGAAGCTTAGTGTTAACTTGATTACAGCTTCAACCATCTGAAAATGCTCTTGATCTCTGTCATGGGAGTTAATCTGAGTATTCGGTGAAGAGAGAATGTCACTTGGCACTTTTGGTTGAGTGAAGAGAGAATGTGATGAGAGAAATGAAAGTTCTCTCTGTCTTTGTCACGAGAATTAATAAAATTGATTCTTATATACTTAAGGAGTATGCAATGTGCCTTCTATAGGCATGAAGCTTGAAGAGACTTGGAACTTTGGGCGGAGGGAATAGAAAAAAATAGAGAAATCTTTCAACTTTTTTGATTGAGTGCATTTGTAATGAATAATAAATAAATGTTTATAATTAATATATTTTTATATTGAAAGTATTATAACAAATAGATTAGATTGGGAGAATTTATCCAAGCTCTCCAAACCTTTCAAAATCCTTCTCCAATTTAATTTGAGTTCTTCTAAATTTAGGGGGATTTTGTATAATAAAGAAAAATAAACTCCCCTATGCCCTCCTTTCTTTCCACTCCATATTTTTTTTTCAAAGTCCTCCCATCTCCTCCCAAACTCCCAAATAGACCCTTAAGATAACTGCTAGTTACCAACACTAACTGAATATACTGACTCAGCATATTCAGTTTCAACTGCCATCAGCTACTCTAACTAACTTATACAAGAACTGGTACAATGGCAAGATTATACTATGATACAGAAATACAAGATATGGATGTTATATTATACACTAACACTGAATACTATTACATTCATCAATTGAGATGCTGTTTGCTTTTTGGATGCTAATGTTTACTTAATTCTTTAGGTTTTAATTTTAAGTGAGAGACTCCATTCAGTTACGGCGCAGTTTGATCAGCTCAGAGCTATACGCTTCCAGGATGCTATTAATAGGGCAATACCACGAAGAAAACTTAATCGTGTAACCAGAAAAGATTCTGCTGAAACCTCTAATTCAGGTGATGCGGAGCTCAGAGAACCTGATGAGCTGTGCAGTGAGCCTCTAAGAGTCCAGCATCAACTCTTGGACGATGAAACACGTGCCCTTCAGGTGATAAAAATCGGGTCCAAGTTTAAAATACAACTTATGTTGATATTTGATATATAGTTTATTTATACAAGGCTTTTAGATTCTCATAACTAACCCTTTGCTAATGTTCCTTTTCCTATAGGTGGAATTGACTAGTCTTCTAGACACAGTTCAAGAAACTGAAACTAAGATGGTAGAAATGTCTGCATTAAATCACTTGATGGCTACACATGTATTGCAACAAGCTCAACAAATTGAGCATCTATATGACCAGGTTAGATAACATCACATTCTTCACGCTTCTTTTTGCTTATTTGTTTTTGTGGATCTGTTAAGGGTGTATATACAAATAATCAAATAGTGAAATTTCGAAACCAGAACAAATAATCAAATATCTTAATACTCCTAAAAACCTTAATATCCATATTATTTTCATACAATTAATGCATAATATGTTTCACACGTTTCAACCGTTGTAGTATAGTAAGTTAACTGGCTAATTTCATATTGTCCATAGCAATATGTGTATTCTCAACTTATGAGTTAATGGTTCTGATTTGTTTTTACAGGCTGTTCAAGCTACTAAGAATGTTGAGCTTGGTAACAAAGAACTCTCACAAGCCATTAAGCGGAATAGTAGCAGCAGAACATTTCTTTTACTATTTTTGTTTGTGCTCACTTTTTCCATCATCTTTCTTGATTGGTATAGTTAATTTGTTTTCATTTTCTGCTAACAATGTATCTTCTCATAGCAGTCTCAATTTTCCATATTCCTGATGATATATTTGTGTCCACTACAAAAGGCATATTTTCCTTGATATTTGAGAAATGTGATATAGCAAACAATTCGAGTAATTAATTTTATGAAGGCAAATAGGCAGTAGTGATAAATTGATAATTGATTCAACTTACAATACTTGGATATGTTCAAAAGTTCCTAACCGTTTTTTTTTTTTTTGGAGAAGGAAAAGTTCCTAACTGTTAATGCACTTGAATTGTCACATTTTCTAGTGAAGTATTATTTGGAGATTTCGAATTTTTTTTAATGATAAAAACATTAAATGACTGAACTTTAAGTAATGTTTTTTCTTTAAGGAACTCTAATTTTTATTTTATTTTTTATGATTAACCATTAAGGGATTGAACTTAAATTATTGCTGCCAGTCAAAGACATCAAAATTTGAGGGGATGCACTTTCCACTCTTAGTGTGTGCCACACCTTTCGAAATTCAAAAATGCCTTTTTTTTTTGGATTGCATTTTCAATTGCATTCAAAATTACACTATAATGCATTATTCTGAGTTTCATTTCATTTTGAATAAAATATAGTTTGAAGATGCATTGTTATGAAGTTTTAGAGAGTTTTCGGATTTGTATCTTTGAAATATTCTATTTACTTAGTTGTTTTGGTTTTAGAAAAAACTAAATTTGATTGAGGCACACATATTTTAGGACATTTTAGATCAGCATATTTTAAGTCATTTTAGGCTATGAATTATAAGAAAAATACATAATTGATTAATTCAAACATAATACTTAATTATGAAAAAAGACATACAATAACTCGTTCATAAAATACAAAATAATACAACTAAACAAATATCTAGTGGGTATGTCTAACCCATACCTTCTCCGTCTCTATTGTAAAACATTATGTGCCTTAACAGTCATGTCTTCCACGAGAGTCAATTGGGGATTGCCATCCTTAAAGAATCCTGCTTTTATTCCTGATCTTCTTATCTCCACAATACGTCGACAGGTTGGCGACACATCCTTGATGTGGTCATTCCCAGTCTCAAGTACCTTTTAGTTAGATAGCCTAGATGGTCTTCAAAGAACTTCTGGTATCATGATAGGGTGTGACACTTTAAGAACCATATCATGTAGTCGTTTGCATAGGTCCACTGTAAAAGAGCTAGCACCCTATGATACTCCTATGATATTTGATGACTTTCAACCGTCAAGTATTGCATCGATATCTCTGTGGCAGATAGTGGGAGGAGTGAACTCTGAGGGTGCTTTCGGAATAATATGCAAATAGCCAAAACTGGCGCATCACTCGCTCTGACAAATAAGGATACATCAAAACCGGCCCACATGCCAGCCATCTGGGGTATAAGGAAATGATGTTTACCTAACGCGTTTCACGGCGACCCTTTCATGGACAAAATAAAAGATCACTTGATACATGACGGTCAAGATACACTCTGAATGACTTAATCACATTATTTCCCATATATGAGGTAAATGCGACAACACATGACCAATCCTCAATGTAGGCAAGCACGACTTTCCACCCGGTGATGCGAGGGAAGTGAGAGACGGTCGATCCTTAAAAATGATTCAGATACAATATTACTAACAAATGTAATAAATAAATTATAAAAATACTAATAACAATAAATTACCGTAAGCAGCATGCAAGTCTCTGCCATCTACTTTGTCTTTCAAAGATAATCCTCGCCCATCTTCAAATACAAACAGACTAAACAGACCGACCCTCAGTTGTACTCATGAATTATAGTCAATTTGATGAAGTACTGAAGGTAGACCACATCGACGTAGGTTGCACTTTTGTCCACAAACATGGACGTGCCAACAAAGAACAAAAGGTAACACCTCAATGTGCAAGTCTGATGATAGTCAACCTGCAGGTCATCATCACCTTCGGCATCCTCAGCCCATTGCATATGATCTTTATAGAGCTTTTTCAAAACATTAAATCTTACATGAGCACCTATGGTGCCAGTTTCCTCCTTTGAGGCATTATTTGAGCTATCCCCCAAATGGGTGACCATCATCTCGACGACTTTCTCTCGAACGATCCTTCAGTGACCCAATCATTTCTCCCTTATGGGAATATGCAGAAGGCATAAGACGTCATCCAAGATGATGGTCATATCGCATGTAGAAAGGTGGAAAGATGACGTCTCTGAATGCCACCTCTCCACAAAATCCTCCTGCATGCCAATGGTCATGTACGCAGCAAGACATGAACTGACAAGACCGAAGTAGAAGATAAAATCCTAAAACAATCAGTTGTGGGTTGTCCCAACTCCAATATTTCCTTGCCATGGTTTATCAATTTCAAACACGTACACTGATGTAAAAAGAAAATATCACCATCAGTATCAATTTAATTATTTGAAAACATATGTATTGCAAAAAAAATATATACCTCTCCTTCCTAGACATGCCTAGAAGCATGGTCTGCATAAAGAGGAAGTAAGGAGGTGTCAAATGGACCTCATGGATAACTCTATGAAGGGACATCAACATCGACTTCCTCTTGAACTTTAGGTGCTTTAGGTTCTGCTGCATCATCTAAGGACTCATGACCCCGTGAAGTAGATGCCCGTGAGAGGCGGCTATGAGAAGTAGAACTAGATGGTTGGGAACCTCGACACTACGAACTATCAAACAAGTTATCATTGACTCGTGACCTCGTGGTCTTGGCTGTGGCCCTCTCACGTCATACCGACGCGGTTTGGAACACACAGCTGAACCCAGTTCTGCCAGAGTAGTTTTCAGCTATTGCACTTGCATTACAAACAAATGTAGAGAAAAACATCATGCTAGGACAAATCCTTAAATTTCACAAAATCAATCAAATTTTAGCCAGAGTAAAATTTAGAGATGCATCTCCAAAAATAGCATTGAAAAAATCTGGAAATGCATCTCCAAAAAAAGATGCGATTCTCAGCCATGGCAGGAATGACATTGCTGCCCTAACCGTCTAAACAAATATCAATACAAGTCCTTGTATGCTATCTATTTTGTTTCCACAACTATATAATGCACCTTAAACTAATGAAGTTTAAATAACTAACTACAATTAAAACATAAAAGAGAATGAATTTTAAATTTTTTACCAAATCAAATTAATGAGAAGGAGAAATTTAAATGTATGAGATACTAAAAAAGAGGAGAAATTAAATAAAATAAATCATGATCTCTAATTTTTTACATGGTTGCTTATTAAACAGTATATGTTTTCATTATCGAAGATCCAAATTTAAAATAATTTAATTGGCTAGTTATTTTATTTTATTTTAATATGTTAGGATTAAAATTGAATTGAATAAATCAAACTTAATATCTATTTATTTAAAGGGTTGTTATATTTCTTTTTTCTTTCCTAGAACGTGGTAAAGATAAAGAATTTTATCAATTCAGAAGATATCTTCTCGATCTACTAAAATTTTTGAAGTCTTAATTTTTAGATAGTAACAGTTTATAGCTGACCAACTCTTAAACTATCTCACTCAAGGTTTATGTCATATTTTTTTATACATCTCAAAAATTATTTTCTTAATCAATTATATGTGTTGGTCGAAAGTGAACAAATTGTTCTTTTAGGATTTTTACGCGATAGGCTTCTCCTCTTCTTGGATCCATTAAAATTAATATTTGTGGCAGTTGTCACTACAACTCCTTAATTATTGGCTCTATAGGTTTACTTAGATAATGTGAAATATGTGGTGAATATAAAAAACCTCACGAAAAATTGAAATGTGATAACACTAGAGCAAAGAAAAATTGTAGAAGTCAAGTTGCACGAATACTACAAGATGAAAAATAATATACTAATGTAATTCAAATGTTGTATAAGTTGAGTTTTTTGGAATTTTCGACACAAACAATCCAGACATTTTATTTCTTGAAAATTTATTATTTTTTACTATCAATTTATTTTTATTAGCATTGACGGACAATTTTTGTCCACTTTTCTTAATGCTATGATTTCTATATTTATACATTGCATACATGTGTTATTAGTTAGTTATTCAAGTGTAACTAATAAAACTAACTTGTTAACTACCATCTATCTTAACTAACTAACTAATCATTCTCTAATATTTCTCTTCAAACTTATGATGGTTGAAATAAGATGTTTTGAGTTTGTGTCTAAAGTGACCAAATTGATTAGTTGATAATGGTTTTGTAAGGATGTTTTCAATCTGAGCTTGACCTGGAACATGTTGGATATGAAGTTTGTTCACAACAACTCTTTCTCTAATAAAATGGATGTCCAACTCAATGTGTTTCGTTCTAACATGCAGTACCAAGTTATGTAAGATGTGTAATGGAGAACTCTTATAAAAGTGACTCAATCCATAAGACTTTAAAGATTGTGTGGCCCAATGCATGATATTCTACCTTCGTGCTAGAACGAGCCACTAATGATTGCTTTTTGGAGCTCTATGCTACAAGATTAAGTCCAAGTAATACACGTGATCTTGAAGTTGAGCACTTGTCTTCAGGTTCACTTGCCCAATCCGACTCGCTATATGCTCGTAGTGAAAGTTTGTGCAAGGATGATTATGGAGCTAGAATTAGACCATGCAAACTTGTGCCACTGATGTATCTTAACATGCATTTTACCACACTTCAATGAGAATCAAGAGGGCCATCCATATATGTACATGCTTTATTTACACAAAAATCTATGTCAAGTCGAGTTAAAGTGACATATTGTAACGCTCCAACTATGGATCTATAAAGGAAGGGATTATAAAGCTCGTCATCTCCATATTTACTAAGTTTACAAGTGTTGAACGTGAGAGTGCTCCCACCACTGGCTTCTATCATGTTAATCTTAGCAAGCAAATCCTTGATATATTTTGTTTGGGTAAGAATAATAATGCCACTAGGTTGATAATGAACCTCAATTCCAAGAAAATATTGAGGAATGCCTAGCTTCTTAAATGCA